ATTCCTGGGCGGTCAGGCCTCGAGGTACAAGGCGCGTACGACATATATCATCTGCCAAGCCCGAGAGAGAGAGACGTCAATGATAGATTTAGTACCAACTTCGTTGTGAGCAAGAATAGGAGTATGAGCAGGATCAGCGCGCAGTTCCTCAATCGTCTCATGGAAGACCCTGACGAACTGTTTGGGCACTTCGCCCGACCCCTGGACCCCCCCCCCATTCTTCGTGAGAATGAAGTGGCGCTCCTGATGCAATTTGAAACTCACGACTCCGTTTCGAATGCGCTGCTATGCAAAGACTTGGAACTCAGGTCGCACAATGCGATCACCCACAGTCGCTAAAGACGAGGAGGATGGGCACGTGAACTCATTGTTGAGGTCGTGGGGATCATTCAAGTGAGGAAGAGCGAAACGACGGAGGGCGAAGCCAAGGATTGCCCCCTCCGTCCGCCGATACCGCAAGAAGCCGTGCCACCACCCAGGAAAGCTAGGATCCTATTGCTTAGCCCCCTCCCCAAAGCTATACACGACAGCATGCCAGAGTTTCCAGCACGTGCCCAGGCTTTTCATAGTTTGCTTGTTGTTGCCCTTGTCTAAGAATACGCCCTCAGTAGCATTGGCTTTCGTAGGAAGTTGCTCCACTTGCATTGCATGACTAATTATATAGGTAAACACACGGCGGGCGCGTAGTAGCTCAGCCGAGACCAAGAAACAACTCTCGCGACAAATGGTGTCCCTTGGCTTCTCGCGCAGCACAGACTGCATGGGGGCAAGCAGTGAGCGCATCAGAGTCGTCATCTGCCTGACACACCCCTGGGAAGAAGTCGTCATCATCAGCTCTTTGCATTGGCTGGCAAAGCGGCGTGGTTCCAGATTTGCGCGTCGCCGAACATGGTGGATTAACGGGGTGCGGGACGGGCACAGGGTCAGGTAGAAAGGTGGCCAGGATCGAGACCCACAAGGGCGACTTCGACAGGGACGCTCCAACTTGCTGAGGCACGACTGTTTTTGGACCGACGCAGTTGATCGAGTAGCTTATTCACCGACGTCTCCGCCAGCACTTCCATTCGAGAGGTTCGGGTAAGGATGCCAGCAATGGGGCAAGCCGCCAGAAACTCTGCAAAATTGGTGTTATAGTCCTCCAGATAAGTTGCCTCCAGTCCTCCGCCAGCTCCTTCCATAGCCTCCTCCAGCTCCGAGAAACCAGAGGTAAAGCCCGAGGCATGGTTGTATTTGCGATGCTTGACCCCCGTGGACCTCCCAGCTAAGACACGTGCTACTCGATGAACCTCGGCATGGTGACCCAAACGGCGGGCCTCGTGAAGCCTGCCGACGAGACGACAAAGCAGGCCACCAAGATGACGGATTCTCCTGCGGTGTTCCAAATGTTTCTCCGAGTAGCAGGGGAGATGGCCATAGATTGTCCAATAGCGATGAAGCTCCAAACGATGCTGGTGACGCTCACGGACGATAGACCAGCGCTCACGATGTAAAACACTATGCAAACATGTGGAGGTACGGGTGTGAGTGCGAAGTGCTTGCGTATCGTGTCGTGTATAATGTTTATCGTGGTCACACTCACGATATGTGTGCGCGTCCCGCTGGTATTCGGAGAGAAATTCGGTGTCGCTCCCTGGAAACGTGTCTCCAACTCCTCGTGAAACTTTAGTTGCTGCTAGTTTTTGGATGTCGCAGCGGAAGGAATCAGTGTCCAGCGAAGCATGCGGCATGGCATATTGGACTTCAACATTGCTTGCACGTGATCCCGCGGTCGTCCACTCGGAATCAGCTGAAGCTCCCGCCCTTCCTCCATGCCACCTGGCGCCGGGTTACCCCAGGAAGGAGACCACGAGGGCCGAGGAACATGTCAATTGTCAATCGCACTGGTCTCCCCCTTATTGCCGTATAATGTCGGGCCAGCCCCGGAGACAAGGTGCACGGGGTTGCCATGTCTAAGTCGAGCACGAGATTACCGACCGTGGTGCCCCTAAGTCCATGACGACCGACATGCTGGGGGCCGATCTATTCGCCAGCCTCATCTCGAGGCCATTACTCCCCAGACCGATACCAGAGTCAAGATCCATGCCCACTACTACGGTGCTCCGTGCCGCTGCTCGTTCGACGCGTGCTCTAAGATGTTCAAGCGTGTTTGTTTTTTACATAACAGCGAAGACTGATAGGTTTCTAGTAGGGTCAAAAGAGAGCATCATGACGCCCCAGGGGGGTCTGGGCGCGATCCGGGGGAGGATGCCGGGTATTTTTTTAGCCAGCAGTTACACACTTCGTGGTCTTCGAGGTCCCAGAACTCCATTCCTGCGCCACATTCTGAATGCCTGGAGCCAACTGCAGGCCACTTCGTGGTCTTCGAGTTCCCAGAACTCCATTCCCGGGCCACATTTTGAATGCCCGGAGCCAACTGTAGGCCACTTCGTGGTCTTCGAGTTCCCAGAACTCCATTCCTGGGCATGGTTTTGAATGCCCGGAGCCAACTGTAGGCCACTTCGTGGTCTTCGAGTTCCCAGAACTCCATTCCTGGGCATGATTTTGAATGCCCGGAGCCACTGTAGGCCACTTCGTGTTCTTCGAGTTCCCAGAACTCCATTTCCGGGCCACATTTTAGATGCTGAGGCAGGCTGATGCTGAGGCTGAGGCAGGCTGAGGCTGAGGCAGGCTGAGGCTGAGGCCGAGGCTGAAGGCAGACTGAGGCTGAGGCTGAAGCAGGCTGAGGCTGAGGCTGAGGCAGGCTGAGGCTGAGGCTGAGGCAGGCTGATGCTGAGGCTGAGGCTGAGGCTGAGGCTGATGCAGGCTGAGGCTGAGGCGCGCTGAGGATGAGGCCGAGGCTGAAGGCAGACTGAGGCTGAGGCTGAAGCAGGCTGAGGCTGAGGCTGAGGCTGAGGCAGGCTGAGGCTGATGCTCAGGCAGGCTGATGCTGAGGCTGAGGCTGAGGCTGAGGCAGGCTGAGGCTGCAGGCAGGCTGAGGCTGAGGCCGAGGCTGAAGGCAGAGGCTGAGGCTGAGGCTGAGGCAGGCGGAGGCTGAGGCTGAGGCAGGCTGAGGCTGAGGCTAGGGCAGGCTGATGCTGAGGCAGACTGAGGCTGAGGCTGAAGCAGGCTGAGGCTGAGGCCGAGGCTGAAGGCAGATTGAGGCTAAGGCTGAAGCAGGCTGAGGCTGAGGCAGAGGCAGGCTGAGGCAGGCTGAGGCAGGCTGATGCTGAGGCATGCTGAGGCTGAGGCTGAGGCTGATGCAGGCTGAGGCTGAGCCTGAGGACGAGGACGAGGCCGAGGCTGAAGGCAGACTGAGGCTGAGGCTGCAGGCAGGCTGAGGCTGAGGCTGAGGCAGGCTGAGGCTGAGGCTGAGGCAGGCTGATGTTGAGGCAGGCTGAGGCTGAGGCTGAGGCTGATGCTTATGCAGGCTGAGGCTGAGGCAGGCGGAGGCTGAGGCCGAGGCTGACGGAAGACTGATGTTGAGGCTGAAGCAGACTGAGGCTGAGGCCGACGGCAGACTGAGGCTGAGGCTGAGGCAGGCTCATGCTGAGGCAGGCTGAGGCTGAGGCTGAGGCTGAGGCAGGCTGAGGCTGCGGCAGGCTGAGGCTGAGGCCGAGGCTGAAGGCAGACTGAGGCTGAGGCTGAAGCAGGCTGAGGCAGAGGCAGGCTGAGGCTGAGGCAGGCTGAGGCTGAGGCCGAGGCTGCAGGCAGGCTGAGGCTGAGGCAGCCTGAGGCTGAGGCCGAGGCTGAAGGCAGATTGAGGCTGAGGCTGAGGCTGAGGCTGGCTGATGCTGAGGCAGGCTGAGGCTTAGGCTGAGGCTGATGCAGGCTGAGGCTGAGGCAGGCTGAGGCCGAGGCCGACGGCAGACTGAGGCTGAGGCTGAAGCAGGCTGACGCTGAGGCTGAGGCAGAGGCAGGCTGAGGCTGAGGCAGAGGCAGGCTGAGGCTGAGGCTGAGGCTGAGGCAGGCTGAGGCTGAGGCAGGCTGAGGCCGAGGCTGAAGGCAGATGCAGGCTGAGGTTGAAGCAGGCTGAGGCCGTGGCCGAGGCTGAAGGCAGACTGATGTTGAGGCTGAAGCAGGCTGAGGCTGAGGCTGAGGCAGGCTTAGGCTGAGGCAGACTGAGGCTGAGTCTGAGGCAGGCTGAGGCTGAGGCTGTGACTGCGACTGCCGTTGCCACTGCGACTGCCATCGCGAATGCGACTACGACTGCGAGAACAGCAGAATTCTACAACCGGATTCTCATCTGAATCTTATGGGGAATGCTTCCAGATATGCTCCTACACATCGCTGTTAGGTTGCTTTGCCGGGATAATTCAATGGCCCCTATGTGTGTTCTGCGCTTGCCTCCATATTTGAATTCGTATAGGGGCGGCGGGTACACTGTGATCAGCGTAAGGTCTAGACCAGGGCCCTCAATGCGAACCTCACCATGAGGACCAGGGATGTTCGAAGGACCTGCGTGCACATGCTTAATGTAATTAGGATGTATGCGCCGCCCCAAGATCATGCAGCATCCCGCGCTAGAATTCGAATGAGGGGCCCGACTCCAGCCGACGTGTAATGCTAGCCTGCGAGATCTCAGACGCTCCACATGATATGTGCGGCCTACCCATTCTCGAACAGACGTGCCCTGGAGGAAGACCACATGAACGTGGAGACGACAGGCTTTCTCATCGAGGCTTCCTGCAGATACCAAGCTCAGGGGGTTGGACGTGACAAACTTCAGGGTCGTGCTGCTTCTGGAAACCACTCGGAAAATAAGTTGCCCCCCACGCACGTCGCCTACACACAACATAGACCAGGCCCAGCCATGGGACAGGCGCCACGTTGGGATGTGAGCGTGTGTGCAATCGCCCCTGGAAGAGGATGTTCGATGGAAAGGGGCTATGAGGAGGAGGAGGAGGAGGAGGAGGAGGAGGAGGAAGGGGGAGGAGGAGGATAATGATGTTGTTCTGCGCGTCGTCATTGGCGGCGATTGTACGATGACTGCACGGGTTGTCCTCCTGCGGCGTCGAGCGGAGGCTTGGTACGACTACCTTACCGACCGGCGCGGGGAGGCGGAAGACGACGCCGATGAGGTCACGCTGGCCGACACGCGCAGGTGCTGCGTCGGGGGTTGAGGGGGCCCTTGGTCGAAGAGTGCCAGGCCACCCAGATCCCCTCGAGTCGTGACGCAAGGTCCTTTGCAGTGTTTGGCCACTGGTGGGCCTTGAATGGTAAGCTTGCCATCCTTCGAAGAAGACGTGATGCATGGCATACAGATAAGCTGTCGGCGGTCAGCGCCTTTCTCTTGGGTCGGTGCTGGACCCCCCTGGCGGCACCTGGTTAATGCTGGTTGGCTCTGTGTAGTTGTCCCGTCGCGATCGCCACGATGAGGTATGTGTTCAGCGGGTCGCTCTCTGCTTGTTGTAGGTGCTGCGCTGTTTTGACTGCTTCGTGTGCTGCCGCAACCTCTTAGTCGAATGCGTCCTGCTCTTGTGCCCGTTGCCCCATATCGAGAGCACTATGTTCTTCGTGGCTCACGCGTTGCAGTGCGGACCTCTTGGCTTGTTGTGTTTCCTGTGCTGCTAATCCTTGCTCTGAGGAGTCTGCTTTTGGCTCAGTAATCAATTGGTATGGTATGGCTTGTTGTGCTTGTTCTGTTTGTTGCACTTGGTCGTGCTTGTGTATTTGCCTCATGGTGTGCCGCATACGTTCTTCAGTGGCTTGTTCGATTTGTCGTATTGTTGTCGATTGTTGTTAATGTGTGGTTTTCCATTGTTGTTTTCGTGGTATTGTTCTCGTTCTCTTAGTTCTCGTCGCTGTGATGCTATTGGGGCTTCCGTTTGGAGACGTGAGGTTTGGTGTGATCGGTGTGTTGTGACAAGGTAGTCGCTTTGGGCCTAGAGGTTGCGTTGCGCACTTGTGTGTAGTAGTGCATGTCCTGCTCTGAGATTTTATCTGGTTGTGTCTTTGCTCTTTTTTTGGTAGGGCAGTCTGGTCTCTGTCGCGTAGTGCTGGTTTTCTTCACGTAGTGTCGCCTCCGTATGCGCCTGTAATCGTAGTTCTGTTTCTCGAATTGTTTGATTGAGCTCCCTTGCCTCGTGATAGTTGTTGGAACGGTGGTCGTGAGCTGCGTGCAGCTGGTGCATAGTATCGTCTCCAGTTCGTAGTTTTGCTAACAAGCTGCCTCCGGGCGTCGTCAGCTTGATTTTGTCGTTGAGACGCTCGTTAGACGGTCTTCTCCTTGAGACGGTCGCATGCTGATTGGAGTATGTGTTTCAGTCGGTGCGTCTTCCGATCGTCGTTTGGGTTATGCGTGAAGTGCCTGGTCGGCTTGAATGGGTGAAGTGGAGGCCGTTCCGTTGGATAGCTTCCGAGCTGGAAGTCTTATGCACGTGAGTCTGGACTCGGTGAGTGTGCTGTCTGTTTGTGGGTAATTCCGTTTCCACGTTGATGTTGATCGTGGTTTTGAGGATGGTTGTGTCATGTCGTTGCTGTGTTTATTCGGGCGACGCCTCTGAGATCTCGGTGCACGCAGCTTATTCGTCTCCGAGTTGGCGTATGTATTGTAGTGCTTCTGCCGCTGGTTGTCTGATCTAGAATTTGTCGTTTGAGTACAGCCAACCTGTGTAGCGATTATGTGAAGTTCAGCTGCTTTTGTCGTATGCCAGGCCCCAGCGTCGATTGGGGTAGCACCTGGTTTGTTCGTGTGTGGGGCGTCGTTGTAGTGTGCTTCCTATGAGTCGTCAACGAGTGCCTGGTTTTCACGGGTCGTATATGTCATGCGGTCAGGTGCGACCCCGAAAACAGGTTGCGGTATGTAGTCATCGTGCTTTGACGTGGGTGCAGTTAGTTGTTGCGTCTTTGGTCTGGGCGTGTCGGTCGGGATGGGTGTGGTGTATGTGGTTATTGCTCCCAAGATTGTCGTGCTCTGGTTGGCTGCAGGTAGGTGTCGTTGCAGTACCGCTGGTAGGGTTGGCTTGGCGTCGTTTGGCGTGTTGGTCCGTGCGGTTCTGGGAAGGTGTGCCCGATCGCGAGGGTTAGTTTCCCTTGCCGTTGTTGCTGTTGTTGTTGTTGTTGGTGGTGTTGTTGTTGTTGTTGTTGAAAATTCACTTCTAGAGAATAATTATGGTTGGTCTCTGGAAACGTTTCCACGCGCTCTCGCCTCGACGTCGGCTACAGTTTCTCTGAAAACGATGTTCCCGCGCTAGCGTTAGCTTGAGTCTAAATGTGGGCCCTTGGAGGCCTAGCTACGACGACATCGGCTCCCGCTCGATACGGCCCCCGAGCTCATGAACCGCGCTCTCGCTCGAGACTTCCTCGCAATTCAGTCAAGTTGGCTGAGGCCCAGCCACGGCGACACGGGCTACTGCTCGATACTTCCTCACGATTTTCTCCGAGGCGGCACTCTTTCCCGGGACTTTCTCGCAATTCAGGCAACTTGGTGGAGGCCCAGACACGGCGACGAGGGATCCCGTTCGATATATAGGTATTCCGGTAGCCCTTGGCCAGAACGGCCCCCGAATTCAGGAACGGCGT